CTTTCCCTGATGGCATGAAATTCTTATGGCACTGCAGCATGACCACACGAAACCTGACATACTGATTTGTTTTAAAAGCAATATATACAAACTTAAAATGTCGCTGGCATTTTGGTTTAATAAAAATAAAATTAATGTATTCGTAAGACACTCTTCTGCTACTAATTGCTTGTTTTGTCTAGTTTGTATATCATTATATGGTGGAAGAAAATTGCATATTTCTTTCTGATTTTTTATATATTCCCAAATAATGCTTAAAGTAACATACACAGGATTCCTTGGGCTTGGCATTATGTATAATTCAATTAAAGAATAACTCATATACATAGATAGCTTTGGAAAGTGTGACACAAGCATGCAGGAAAATTACACATAAAACATGTAATTTAAGTTGCATATTTATTTTTCTTTCCTATAATTTGCATATAAAATTGTGGATATCCTTTTTCTGATACAATATTATCTGCAGAAGGATCTCTATTTCAGTAGTTGTCTCCGTCTTTTCATTGGCTTCTGATGATGAAATTTGTTTAGTACCGTTGCTTAAGAATAAGACAATGATTTAACACTTAGGCATTATATATACAAGAAAAATAAATAATTCAAAAGAAAAAAGAGAGAGAGATAAATATACCAAAACAAATAGAAGGAGAAAGATAGTGATATAAAGTAGATGTATAATTAATAAATAAATGAAGAATGGTGAATAAAAAAGAAACTGAAAGAATGGAGAAACTTGATTTATTATTATATTTTTTAATTATGAATTCACCTGGTAATCATAAAGGTACTTTTGGCAATTTAAGATTGTTAATTTTAATGAAAGAAAAATGATAAATGAAAAAAAAAACTAGAGAGCATGTTTTTTTTTGGTACATCAAGAGGGCATCTAACTATATTGTGAATATATTTAATTAAATAAAAAAAATAGCAATTGCCAAACATAACAATTTTATAAAAATATTATTTATAAACATAATTATAATATGCATTTTCATAAATTTATACAATTTTAAAATATAAAAAATACATTTGAGTTAAATAATAAATAAGTATAATAAAATTAACTCCTAAGCAATTTTCATTTAAAAAAATTTCTTTAATTGTTTTATGCATTAGTTTTTTTGTATTTATTATTTCACTCAATAAATAAATTTATATGTCAAACATTTTAACATATTTAGTATATAATTTAATGTCTAAACACCAATAAATATCTGATGATGAAATTTCATTCACAAATGTTTAAACAGACACAAGTTAAATTCAGTATTATCAATAAAAATTTCTTTAAAATTGAATTCATGTGTTTTTTTCATCTTAATTCGTTTACACCTCATGTTCTTTAAATTATTAATATGCGTCTAAAATTAATTTATTTGATGAAAAAAATTGTTTTATTCACAAAAAAAGATAGATATTGTTGGTTTTCACATGAAATTGTGAACGTTAACAATTTCTTTATATATTTGTTACATAATTACCGTTTTCCATTAGTAGTATTTATTTTATGCTTGTGTGAAAACAAGGATAGTACTTTAGAAAGTTTATTGCCAAAAGTTGAACGAATAAATTCCCTAAAATGTTGGTAACACATTTTTTTATTATATTTTTGAATATATACTTGTATTATTAATTAACTTTATTGATAAATTTTAATTGGTATCATTTTTCATTTAATAAATTCTACTCGTAATTTATAAATTTTAATCAATTATAGCTAAAGTACGTATTAAAAAGATATGTAGCTAACACTATTATTTGTTTGTATAGAATGTGTGATTCATAATACGTCCTATAGAGATGCATTTGAGATGAAGGATTTAATTGGGATTCCCAACTAGCACTAAATGTTGATCATTCATACAGATGCCCTACGTGTGTCGAAATGTTTCCCTCTTCAATTATAAAAGTTAAAGGCTGTTGAAAGAGTTTATTAAAGCAATGTCTTTATATTAGTTTTCTATGTAGTGCCTTTACTGTGCCAAATCATGTAATAAGCAGAGGGCCAGCCTTCACTTCTTCTTCTCAATTCACCAGTTCCTTATTTTATTAGTTTTACCATGGGTTATAATGTGGGTCCTATTAAGGGAATTATTTCCTTTTTGTACATAAATATTATATTATATTATATTATATTATATTATATTATATTATATATATATATATAT